AACTTTACCGATTTGAATATATTGGTATTACAACGGATATTTTAAATTGATTTACGCATTAACCTTTCTCAAAAATTTTATTTATATAATATAATTTATAATTAATAACTTTTATGTTGTCAAATCCGTGTACTTTATTTGGCTTTAACGAATTTATAATAAAATTTATTTCGTTTTCCGTTAGATAAAAGGATTTATTAGCTGTATTTCGACGATGATGGCTTTGAGCGTTTGTTTTAATTATAATTTTAGAATATTGTTCACGTTTGCAAAAAAATATTAAGTAAATACGCTATTGGGCCACTATCATAAACTATTTTTTGTTATTCGTCATATATCCCTTCAATTTAAATTTTTTGTTTTTTTTTTATATAATTCTTTATTATTGTTTTCTATAAGGAATTTGAGGTTTTCTATTTTTCATTTTTCACTTTTTTCTTGATAGTATTTTTGCTTTGACTAATAAAGATACATATTATAAACATTGAATTTAAATTATGTCTTACTCCTAAAAGATTGACATGGTTAACAAATTATTTAAATAATAATTAAAATTACATTATAAAAAATAAACTACACTAATTAGTAGGTAGATGAATTTTGCGGTTTAAATTTATTCAGCCTCCATCTAATGAAGATGGGTAGCACAAAGAGAATTAGTAATTCGAGAGACGCTAAAATTGTGGTTCCCACCTTATCGAGACTGAGGCCCATAAGGGTAAATTCGTAGGGTAACAAAAACGAGAAATAATTTAACTTGGAATGAAAGACCGAAAGCCGATAGTAGTGTTAGGACGTTCAATTGTTTGTTTCGTGAAACATTGGCATTACTTAGGTTCAACCATGTGATGATTTTCACAAGCCTTGATTTTGAAAACCATTCTATATCGCCTTTTGATTAGGGTTTAAAAACTTGTTCGAGCAATTTATCTAATAATAATTGGCCTCTTTACCTCTTAAGCCTGCTCATGTAAAATATTTGGGCTCCTTATTTCCCCTATTTTTATTCTAATAATAAAGAACAGCAGGATGAGTATGCTAACCATGTTAAAAGAAATAAATTGGCTTTCAGTTCAGAATTATATTCAGTATATGACTGATATTTATTTATAAAATAAAAATGACATAGTATCATCTCGTCAGATCTATAAGAAAAAATTCAATACTATTCGCAATATCATAACTATAATACAAGAAGCCAATCTGACTTTCATGTACGGCAAGGCATCACCAAAAGTTCCCAAAATATAATTTTTATTAAAGGTTTAAAAAATTTAATAGACTTCCTACAGAAATTAAAAAAAAAACAACAATAAATGTATTCAAAAGTAACCTCAAACAATACTTGATAAATAAATAGAACGGATATACTTTAAACCTGCCCTTTTAAAGAATTTCCCTTTATTATTATTTTACCCCTCGTTTTACTACTTACTATGTTCAAATTATTAATAGTTTTGAGACGATAGGTTATAGCAACTTATGGCCACAAAACTATTTTTGTGTTAAAGTAGATCCATAGAAATTTATAAAGGCATTCTTTCAACATACAAATAAATGACAACTTTATATTTAAAATAAAAAACACAACAAAATACCTCGGTATCGTAATTGATCAAAATTTGAAATGGGTTGATCACATTACGTCATTAAAATCCCAAGGTAATAAGATTCATTTTTAAATTTAATGAATTGAGGAAATTTATGACTAGGAGTTTACTAATTATTACTTACAATTCGCTGGTTGAATATGTAAACCAGCATTATATCCCACCCTCTCTTCTATATAATAAAAAAGTGCTTTGTATAAGAACATTATATTATCTGTCTTGCTGTACCTTTATTTATGGAAAGCCTTAATTGAGATACACTACAAATTATTTGCAATAAATATCAAAAGAAGCATACATTTTTAAATAATTTGACATTTAAGAGCCATTCACACATCACAGTTGACATCTTGTTACTCGAAAGGTACAGCCAAGCATTATTCTGATTTTTGTGTGGCTAGGGGCGAAATAGTAGTACGCTTAAGTTAGCACCACCATAAAAAAGTAATTTTTTAGAAACTGCTTATATGTTTTTCATAAATTAGCAGGCTTGGCGACTAATTTTGAATAAAAATAGCCTCCAAAATGGCTATAGTTGCAAATATGAAGGTCGCAACCCCCCTTAGAAATTTCACCTTTACTATCAACAGCTGTTGTTTGACAGGTCGTTAGAGAGTGTTTGCAATTTATGGAATGTAAAGAATGTTAGGAATGTTGACGTTAGAAATAATTGGAATTCCTAACAGTGTCACATAAGAAATGCATAAGAAAATTGATATTAAAGTAGGTAGGATGAACCGAAAATTCTGAAAATCAATAGGGTTCTACGTTAGAAGTAATTATTCAAGAAAATCAAAACCGCAAGACAATCAGAACTTTCGTTCTAGAGTTATTGTGCCCGCATACATACACACAGACGACCAGAAAATTTTTATTTTGCATTTTCGGACTCAGAATGATCGGAAACATAAAAAAAGGTTAAAAAAATGGGGATAAGAAAATGTTTTCGTTTGCACGAATGCAATACTGAGGCCCCATAGGAAGGGTCTCAGTAATGAAAGATCTCCTGCGAAATGTTTCACTAACCCTAGAAGTCAACAGCGTTTGCAACCTAATGAAAACTTTAAATTTTGGAGAAAATAAAATAAAATTTCCATCAGTTGACATTTCTTTCTTCGTAATAATAATACGGTTTTCATTATTTCCAACAGACAACTGAAGTAATTATTTATAAAACATTCAATCTCATTGCAACTTTACTCAGAGGTCTATTGGCCTTTTTATCTGTACGGAAAGGAACAACGAAATGGTGTTGTTATGGAGTATGTAAAAGTTACACACATAAATCATTCAAAGGCGATACATATAATTTTATGTTTTCCAAAGTCTTGCCTAAAATATCGTAAAAAAATTATCAAATCATCAGGCAAAATACACATTAAAACATGTTCAAAAAGATATTTATATATGTTCAATACATTTTCATAGAGAAGGTGGTCCAACAGAAGAAAATCTATATCTGGTACTACACAATATGTTTTTAATATTAAATACTACTTCGGTATACACAGTAATATTATTAAAACTTTCATGTTGATCCTTAAAATATTAAATAAATTATTGTATTAATAATTAAGAGGACCCGACACCACCTGATCAATTCAAATGCGAGTTTTGCTGGTCACATCGTGTCTAGCATCCGTCTCTTTTCATCGAAACAAGTAATATCAACTGAGAATACCCTGAAAAAGTTGTTTGTAATTTAGGATAAACGAATAATATGTAAATACGAGTAATAGAAGCGATGCGACGGTTAGCAAACCGATTTTTAAACTATATACGCGAATATGACGAAAACTATGCAAAAATTCGTAAAAATTTATTCCTAATTATTATTAAGAAAAAGCATAAGGATTCTAATAGTTTTCAAATAATAATTTTATTATAAGTCATAAGCAAAATAATTAACATAAAGTAACACTATGTCATCAAAGGCTTGATGTAGATCTTGTGAACATTTAAAAGTGCCAAAATTCCTTATAAGAATTGAAAGTGGTAGGCATACTTTGTATTTTTTAATTTCATAAAAAAGTTCAATTAGTTATTATTTGGGAGAGCAAAACTGTGATCCAATATTGTTAGTTTTTCTTTTCATAAAATAACAAAATAACACAGTAGGTGTCTATGGAACAAGAATGGATATGATGGCCATATCTTACGGATACAAAGTTTGTGCACGATGCCGTAGGCGCAGTGCTCAATCGTCTGAATGCGATACGGACAATTTACTCAAATCGTATAGTATTTTTTTCTACGACCTACTACGAAATCTACAAATTTTAAACATTTGTAATAAATAAAAAAAAAAGATTTTATTTAATTGACCTTCAATCAGATTTGAACTCTAGCCCTTCTTCATACGCTAGTAGCAGCTAACACGGGGTACAATAAGCCTAGAGCTTCAGTACAAGTGGGCTTTGAACCATGCCCTAATTCAGATAGCAGCTAATACACCTAAGTTTTTATTTTTAATACTCATGATAAAATATATGATTTTTTGTAAATACAGACGAATATCTTATGAAATACAATTATTTATTGATTCTAAATGGGAATCACTCATTTTTAATTATTTAATCTCAATAAATAAAAAATATACTGATAATAGTAATTTGGTGACCAAAAAATATTAACTGTGATGAATGGATCTCATATTCGTCAAATGTTCTTAGTAGGTAGAATGAATATAAAATATATTTGTTCAGTTGAACGCAATAACCTACTTTTTTGTTTTATAGTCTGAGCGCAGAATAACTAATATCCATGTAGTTGTAAAAAAATAATTATAATAGGTAAATGTATATTTTTTTATATCCACATGGATATTAGCTCGTAGATAAGCTAATATCAGACTACATAACGAAAAAGTATGCTATTGCGTTCAACTGAACGAATATATTTCATATCCATTATAGGTATCATTACCTCCAAAAAATGAAATTCACCAATCACAGTCCATGTTTTAATCAACCAACTACTATAATTTTTAAAATTTTAAAGTGACAATTCTGTCAAACTGTATATTTTTTGGTTATTGATATTAAATATATATGAGTTATTGATGTGCAAAATCGATAAATAAAAGCATTTTTATTTTTATCTAGTCCACTTTTAAAAAAAAATTAAATTTTATTTAACCTAAATGAAATTAATTTAATTACGAGTAATAAAACTAAAATCCGAAAAGTGGCGGTGGAAAGGAGGACAGAACATCTGGATTGCTCTCGAAAAGCCCGGGATCTAATCTGGGCTGGGGACTAATTAAATTAAATCTTCTTTTTTATTTTATAAATTAGTAAAATTATTAAATTTTTTAAAAATTAATTATTTTGTCTTAATAACAAAGAAAGAAACAAGAAAGAAACAAGAAAGAAAAAAGAAAGAAACAAGAAAGAAACAAGAAAGAAACAAGAAAGAAACAAGAAAGAAACAAGAAAGAAACAAGAAAGAAACAAGAAAGAAACAAGAAAGAAACAAGAAAGAAACAAGAAAGAAACAAGAAAGAAACAAGAAAGAAACAAGAAAGAAACAAGAAAGAAACAAGAAAGAAACAAGAAAGAAACAAGAAAGAAACAAGAAAGAAACAAGAAAGAAACAAGAAAGAAACAAGAAAGAAACAAGAAAGAAACAAGAAAGAAACAAGAAAGAAACAAGAAAGAAACAAGAAAGAAACAAGAAAGAAACAAGAAAGAAACAAGAAAGAAACAAGAAAGAAACAAGAAAGAAACAAGAAAGAAACAAGAAAGAAACAAGAAAGAAACAAGAAAGAAACAAGAAAGAAACAAGAAAGAAACAAGAAAGAAACAAGAAAGAAACAAGAAAGAAACAAGAAAGAAACAAGAAAGAAACAAGAAAGAAACAAGAAAGAAACAAGAAAGAAACAAGAAAGAAACAAGAAAGAAACAAGAAAGAAACAAGAAAGAAACAAGAAAGAAACAAGAAAGAAACAAGAAAGAAACAAGAAAGAAACAAGAAAGAAACAAGAAAGAAACAAGAAAGAAACAAGAAAGAAACAAGAAAGAAACAAGAAAGAAACAAGAAAGAAACAAGAAAGAAACAAGAAAGAAACAAGAAAGAAACAAGAAAGAAACAAGAAAGAAACAAGAAAGAAACAAGAAAGAAACAAGAAAGAAACAAGAAAGAAACAAGAAAGAAACAAGAAAGAAACAAGAAAGAAACAAGAAAGAAACAAGAAAGAAACAAGAAAGAAACAAGAAAGAAACAAGAAAGAAACAAGAAAGAAACAAGAAAGAAACAAGAAAGAAACAAGAAAGAAACAAGAAAGAAACAAGAAAGAAACAAGAAAGAAACAAGAAAGAAACAAGAAAGAAACAAGAAAGAAACAAGAAAGAAACAAGAAAGAAACAAGAAAGAAACAAGAAAGAAACAAGAAAGAAACAAGAAAGAAACAAGAAAGAAACAAGAAAGAAACAAGAAAGAAACAAGAAAGAAACAAGAAAGAAACAAGAAAGAAACAAGAAAGAAACAAGAAAGAAACAAGAAAGAAACAAGAAAGAAACAAGAAAGAAACAAGAAAGAAACAAGAAAGAAACAAGAAAGAAACAAGAAAGAAACAAGAAAGAAACAAGAAAGAAACAAGAAAGAAACAAGAAAGAAACAAGAAAGAAACAAGAAAGAAACAAGAAAGAAACAAGAAAGAAACAAGAAAGAAACAAGAAAGAAACAAGAAAGAAACAAGAAAGAAACAAGAAAGAAACAAGAAAGAAACAAGAAAGAAACAAGAAAGAAACAAGAAAGAAACAAGAAAGAAACAAGAAAGAAACAAGAAAGAAACAAGAAAGAAACAAGAAAGAAACAAGAAAGAAACAAGAAAGAAACAAGAAAGAAACAAGAAAGAAACAAGAAAGAAACAAGAAAGAAACAAGAAAGAAACAAGAAAGAAACAAGAAAGAAACAAGAAAGAAACAAGAAAGAAACAAGAAAGAAACAAGAAAGAAACAAGAAAGAAACAAGAAAGAAACAAGAAAGAAACAAGAAAGAAACAAGAAAGAAACAAGAAAGAAACAAGAAAGAAACAAGAAAGAAACAAGAAAGAAACAAGAAAGAAACAAGAAAGAAACAAGAAAGAAACAAGAAAGAAACAAGAAAGAAACAAGAAAGAAACAAGAAAGAAACAAGAAAGAAACAAGAAAGAAACAAGAAAGAAACAAGAAAGAAACAAGAAAGAAACAAGAAAGAAACAAGAAAGAAACAAGAAAGAAACAAGAAAGAAACAAGAAAGAAACAAGAAAGAAACAAGAAAGAAACAAGAAAGAAACAAGAAAGAAACAAGAAAGAAACAAGAAAGAAACAAGAAAGAAACAAGAAAGAAACAAGAAAGAAACAAGAAAGAAACAAGAAAGAAACAAGAAAGAAACAAGAAAGAAACAAGAAAGAAACAAGAAAGAAACAAGAAAGAAACAAGAAAGAAACAAGAAAGAAACAAGAAAGAAACAAGAAAGAAACAAGAAAGAAACAAGAAAGAAACAAGAAAGAAACAAGAAAGAAACAAGAAAGAAACAAGAAAGAAACAAGAAAGAAACAAGAAAGAAACAAGAAAGAAACAAGAAAGAAACAAGAAAGAAACAAGAAAGAAACAAGAAAGAAACAAGAAAGAAACAAGAAAGAAACAAGAAAGAAACAAGAAAGAAACAAGAAAGAAACAAGAAAGAAACAAGAAAGAAACAAGAAAGAAACAAGAAAGAAACAAGAAAGAAACAAGAAAGAAACAAGAAAGAAACAAGAAAGAAACAAGAAAGAAACAAGAAAGAAACAAGAAAGAAACAAGAAAGAAACAAGAAAGAAACAAGAAAGAAACAAGAAAGAAACAAGAAAGAAACAAGAAAGAAACAAGAAAGAAACAAGAAAGAAACAAGAAAGAAACAAGAAAGAAACAAGAAAGAAACAAGAAAGAAACAAGAAAGAAACAAGAAAGAAACAAGAAAGAAACAAGAAAGAAACAAGAAAGAAACAAGAAAGAAACAAGAAAGAAACAAGAAAGAAACAAGAAAGAAACAAGAAAGAAACAAGAAAGAAACAAGAAAGAAACAAGAAAGAAACAAGAAAGAAACAAGAAAGAAACAAGAAAGAAACAAGAAAGAAACAAGAAAGAAACAAGAAAGAAACAAGAAAGAAACAAGAAAGAAACAAGAAAGAAACAAGAAAGAAACAAGAAAGAAACAAGAAAGAAACAAGAAAGAAACAAGAAAGAAACAAGAAAGAAACAAGAAAGAAACAAGAAAGAAACAAGAAAGAAACAAGAAAGAAACAAGAAAGAAACAAGAAAGAAACAAGAAAGAAACAAGAAAGAAACAAGAAAGAAACAAGAAAGAAACAAGAAAGAAACAAGAAAGAAACAAGAAAGAAACAAGAAAGAAACAAGAAAGAAACAAGAAAGAAACAAGAAAGAAACAAGAAAGAAACAAGAAAGAAACAAGAAAGAAACAAGAAAGAAACAAGAAAGAAACAAGAAAGAAACAAGAAAGAAACAAGAAAGAAACAAGAAAGAAACAAGAAAGAAACAAGAAAGAAACAAGAAAGAAACAAGAAAGAAACAAGAAAGAAACAAGAAAGAAACAAGAAAGAAACAAGAAAGAAACAAGAAAGAAACAAGAAAGAAACAAGAAAGAAACAAGAAAGAAACAAGAAAGAAACAAGAAAGAAACAAGAAAGAAACAAGAAAGAAACAAGAAAGAAACAAGAAAGAAACAAGAAAGAAACAAGAAAGAAACAAGAAAGAAACAAGAAAGAAACAAGAAAGAAACAAGAAAGAAACAAGAAAGAAACAAGAAAGAAACAAGAAAGAAACAAGAAAGAAACAAGAAATAAACAAGAAAGAAGCAAGAAAGAAACTTAAAATTCAATACATTAAAATACATCCACACTAATCTTCTGTGATTTTGACATGATACATACTTAAGTACTTATTGCATTGATGTTTGAAGATAGATATAATCAAACACAATTATCTAATAATTTTTTTATAAATAAATGTTGTCGATTTAGTCAGTTGGACTAAAATAGTAGTTGTGCAACAATAGTGGATATGGACAATCCACTCGAGCTGTACCGTATATTTTTTCTTCGACCCACTAACAAGCATCTAAAAATTTTAAAAGTTAAGACAAAATTACTAATTTTAAAATAATTTATGACTTTTACTAATTTATAAAATAAACATGAAAAAAATAAAGATTTTATGAGTCCCTAGCCCAGATTTGAACCCGTGCCTCTCGCATGAAAGTCAAATGCTATAGTATTTGCTCTATCGCCACATATAATATAACATTACATTTAATTTACATACTCGTAATTAATTAATTTAATTTAAATTTAGGGTTTATTTGTAAATTTAGACGAAATAAAAATAGAACTGCTATTCTACACGAGAATAACCCATTTTAATGTATAATTAATCTCAATAACTAAAAATAATACTGACAATTAGTTTGACAAAATTGTCACTTATTTAAAAATTTAAAAAATAATAGTATCCGGATGACCAAAATATGAACTGTGATTGATTGATTTAATTTTTTGCAGTATTCTTATTAGGTAGAATATATATGAAATATATTCGTTCGGTTGAACGCAATGACATACTTTTTCATTTTGTATTCTGTGCGTAGATAAGCTAATATCCATGTGGATGTAGAAAACTAATTTTAAAATCAACTCTGGTAATTCCGCCATATTGTTATTACACCAAGTCCCGCCCAGCAGCCCGATTTTCTGTTGAGAATAACAAACGCGCAATTTGGAATTAGGTCAATCACTGAGATTTGGGCACTATTCATTTCGAAACATTTCCAAAACCTCTATCCACTAACTGTATAAAATCTCTACTCAATAAAAAAGATATAAAGGAAAAGGTCTCGCTTTATAGTAACGGTTTTTTTTTCTTGTTCGATAAGTTTGTCATTTAGTTTGGCAAACTGAATCATTCCCAAGTTAGGATTTATTCTATTATCGCCCTATATTGCATTGGCCCCACGGGTGGTCGCGTTATGTGTCTAAGGAGAGGGCCGTATTGATATTAAAACTGCTTAGTTTTTTTTCAGAGTCTATTCGCGTTAAATAACAAGGAGATTTAGTGAACAATAGGGTTATATTGTCGTGAGGCGTTATGTCACCAATGTGTTTTTAATTTTTTCTTTATCTTTATACAGAACACTATTAACTCTTGCTTTTCCCGAATTCAGGAACTATTTTTAAATAGTTCTGTGTTTCTGGTTAATTTTAGTAGGTTCCCTACTAAGTGTTCCTGGGGCGTTCTTTCCGGTGCTAGACTGAAAAGAGTGAGTCACCATCCAGTAAGAGCTTTGTATTCGAAGATAACATTGTATGAAGTTTCATTCTCTCCCATGCAGAGTCTACACGTGGTAGGATAATAGTATAATCCCGTTTTATGAAGTTATTTAAGCAAGCAGTGGCGCGTTAGTGAATCCACAATGGTAGATATTTGGGACCTAGCGGGCTGTGCTGCTATGCGTTGGTCAGCGTGAACTTACTGATTCTGTGTTGCCAGTAAGTTTAGTGTTTAGTTGTTATCCAGCATTCACTTCCTGTCGAGCAGAGGTTTTACTTATCCCAACTACAGAAGAACAGACACTATCCCATTACTCCGGTGGTTTATAATGGTTGAAGAGGCGTATTTAATTTTCTCTGTTGTAACTATCCGTTTTGCAGTTTCCAGTTTTTGTCCAGACACTCTTCTTTGAGAGTTCGAGTTTTTGTGAGTTTGGTTTATTGCGTGTAATTAATAAAATAAGTTTTGGGAAGAATTCTCAGTTTTAGTGTATTCCCCTGTTTACGATTTAGAGTTTTCCCAGGGTGTTATGCTAAAATGTGGTGTAGTCTACATCCTTCAGTTGTATTTTTGACTTCCTCGGTGGGACCCACTTAGATTCTGTGAGTGTTTCACACTATTCCCCTACTCATCTTTTAAAAAAATTACCCATTTTCTTTCTGTTATAATAAGGATACGATCTACCCGATGGTACCTTATTAATCGATAAATAAATCAGGCGATATTGAAGAGAACTATGTTTATTTTACAAAATAAAAAATGTTTAGACAAAATCCAAAATCAAAATTCCAAGTTGATTAATCAAAGTCACTCTAAAAACATGTAAACTAGATGACATCCCAATTCCAATCTACAGAGTGTGACAATTTCAACATTCTCCCACCTTGTGACACGTTAACCACATAGTGCCACAATTTTACATTTGAAGTCTATTCGGACGTCTGACTTGTCGTCCATAACGCGAGATAACACACATCTCATCTTGACTTAAATTTTCTTCTTTCGTAGAATTTGTTAACTTTTCTTTTCTCCCATGAGGTTTTCCTTTCATCTCCACTTTCAGATTTTCTGCTTCCTTTGCGGTTACTTCCAAAAGAAAAAGTCTTTGTATAGGTCTGAATATTACCCCAGAAGAAGTTTTTAATTGGACTAAGCAGATATTTCCATCTTTACCGGGTAAAATTCCAACTACTAATGCTAAAGGCCAGTCTATTCTTTTGGTGGTATCATTTCCAACTAATACCACATCACCGATTTTAATAAGCGGTGACTTGGATCGCTTTGGTCTAATAATGAGTTGGCTAAGGTACTCTCTTCGAAATCTTTTTCTTAAATCATTTTTAAGTTTTAGCTTGTATCTTAAATGTTTGTTTAAACTTTCTTTATCTACTTCATCTATATCTCCCACTCCTACCTCTTTTATGTCCTGCAAAAACATTGCTGGTGTCAAAGGGATCAGATCTTGGCTATATTCAGTCACATAAGTAAGAGGTCTGGAATTCATAAGGGCTTCACATTCACACAAAACAGTGTACAATTCTTGAAAAGACAGAGAAATTTTTCCTAAAGTTTTCTTCAATAAGTTCTTCAGTAACCGGATAAGGCGCTCCCACCATCCACCCCACCAACACGCTGTAGGTGGGTGGGTTGAAAAATAATTGTAATACCAACTAAAATCTCTCCCAGTATTTAGTGTAGAGACGACGGTTCTGTTCTTCTCCTCTGAAATTGTATCTTCATTTGTTACAAAATTTTGAGAGGGCCATTCACTTCTGTCTTCTAACAACCACGAGGGTCCCTCCCACCACTTCGATTTTAACAGATGGCGAGGAGAACATCCCCTGGAAGGCAGATCAGCAGGGTTTAGGTAACCAGGTACAAAATACCAGTCTTCTATCCTGCTAAGACTTCGGATCTCTTGAACTCTGTTCCAAACAAATGTCTTCCACCGATCCTCTATTTTGATCCAAGATAAAACAGTGCTAGAATCAGACCAACAAAAGATTGGTATATCTCTATTTTCTAGTATCTCTAGGATCGAATATAGTAATCTAGCCCCGATATTGGCTGCTAATAATTCTAGACGAGGAATTGATATCTTCTTCAAGGGAGAAACTCTTGATTTGGCCTGAACAAGTTGAATTTGTTGATCTGATTTTAAAAAAACCACAGCAGCATAAGCATCTTTGGAAGCATCAGCAAACATATGTAGACTCCAATCTTTCGATTTAGCTTTGTTATTTTTAAAGAACCATCTTGGAATTTTCAGATCAACCAAAACATTTAACTCATGAACCCATTTTAAGAAAATATTCAGAATATCTTGAGGAACTTCAGAGTCCCATGAAATTTTGGAAACCCATAGTTTTTGTAGAATAATCTTAATAAACAATGTTATAGGAGAACAGAAACCAATAGGGTCAAAAATTTTGTTAGTAATGGATAGTATAGTTCGTTTTGTTATTTTAGATAAATTTATACCTCGAAACCACTCAAAACACAATCCTAGTGTGTCTTCTTGTCTATTCCATATTAAACCCAAAACATTTGATAAAGTATATTCGTTAAACTGGTTCTCGTTACCAGTCATTGTATATTCCCATCCACGTAAATCAAATTTGTCTTCATTCATCACCTTTCTGGCTTGGTGAACAAATTCTTAGAGATCTTCTTCTGAATCAAGACTGACGACACAATTATCAACATAAAACCCTTTTAAAAGCTTCGAAATAAAGATTTCAGAGTAAGGAGAGTTTCCTGAAGAAATTTTGTGTAAAATATTGGTAAGGTGGTATTGGATAACAACACCCAAATGAAATGGACTACAAGAAAGACCAAAAACAACTCTAGCATGACGAAAATATTTTAAGGATCGATTTTCATCATACCACAGAAAACGTAGAAAATCTCTATCGGCTGGTTTAATACTAATTTGAAGAAAGGCTCTTTTGATATCGGAAATAACTCCTAATTTGCACATTCTGAATCGGAATATTGTAGCTGGAATAAGTTCAATAAAATTTATACCCTTTTCTAGGCATTGGTTTAAAGATGGGCTCTTTTTTTCATGAGCAGAAGCGTCAAAAACAGGTCGAAGTTTTGTAGTACTACTCAATTTTATTACATGTCGATGGGGCAAATAGCGTCTACCATTATCGATCTCGTTTTCAGGAACGTACTCAATAACTCCTTCTTCCAACCATTCAGAAAAAACTCTGTTGTATTCTGTATAATATCCATCCTTTTCAAGTTTTACCATCAAATTATCTAGTCTTTTTTTAGACATTTCTAAAAGAGTCGGTAAAGGAGGATGATCATCAATCCAAGGAAGACTAACTTCATATCTACCTTCCTTGTTAATACAAACAGTGTCTAGGAAATGATTCATTATTTCATTTTCTTTTTCTGTTTTGTTACTAACATCTTTAGGGTCACCAATCCCTAAAATATCAAGTTTCCTTAAATCTGAAATATCCAAACAATGACTTAGTAAAGAAGTTGTTGTTAACATTGCTGACAGATTTAAGTTGGAATTCGATGAATGTTTAATTTCAGCTTTTCCCATTAAAGTCCATCCTA